TGACAGTATCAGAAGCTACCAAATGATCAAGTAGGATGAAGACTGAGAAGAGGCCTTTAGATTTAGCAGTTAAGAGAGCTATGCCAATCTGATAGAGGACAGTTCAGTCTATTAATAGAGCCAGAAGGCAGAATGCAAGAGAAAGAAAGATTAAAGGTGAGAGAGAGCAATGGGATGAAGTAAGGGCCTTAACCTTGAAAAATAGATGAGCCCAGAGAAGAGACTAGGGATGGTGCAATGGGATTTTCGGTTGCGATATAAGAGAGAAGAGGGAACTCACAACAGAAAACCTTCCATCTTAGTTAAATAGGTGAGATTTACTGCTGAGAAGGGAATGGGTCCAGAAAAAGCGGGGGGGTCGTTTGGGGAGCTTAATGAGAGAAGAGAAGGTTTTGGATGATGTCAGAAAAGAATAGAAAGTCTTGCCATGCAGCAGCAAGGGCCAGTTGAGGTAAGATAGTGTATGTTTTTATTGGACCTGGTTTGCATTATTACATGGCTTTGCAGCAGCACTTGAAAAGAAACTTAGAAGACAGGTGATATGAGTAACCCATGGTTGCTGTTGGTAAGGTGCAAGCAGCAATAGGACAAGGGGACAGGGATTTCAAGGATAGTGGAATTGATCCACCCTCAGGTTAAGACTGTGAAGGGAGAAAAGTGAAGCTTGAGTGAGGTTGAAGGACCAGGAAAATGGAGAGGAGTGGAGGGACTGTGGGTCATAGTGAAAATAAAGAATATTGGTTTAGAAGGAATGTTGCAGATAGAGAATTGAAAGAATGGGAAGTTCTCATTAGGGATAAATAGAGTTATAACTGGCTAGCTAGAGCACTTATTAAGCATCTACTGTATGACAGGAACTATGCTAAGCCCTGTGGATATAAGAGGGCAAGGAAGCAGTCCCTGCTATCAGGCATTTACATTTTAATGAAGAAAGATAATACATAAAGGATATAGTAAATCAGGGGGGTTGAGGGAGAATAATTGAGCAAAGGTGCACAATAAGGACGTGGCCAAGAAGTGCCATGCTGGGGCCCAGCAAGATAAGGTAAAAGCTGACCTATCAGCTGAGAGAGACTCAGGAGTGGAGTCCAGATCACCAGGAGAAGGAGGGAGTGTAGGTGATGGTCTGAGTAGATGAAACTTGGCTAGGGCAGGCCACAGAGTTCTAGGAGATGGGGAGATCATTGTGTTGTGGTGGACAACTTACAGTGAAGGTAGAGGATGTTGATGAACTGAGAGTCCAGGATTTTTAAGAGGACATCCATTGTTGGATTATGTATTTAAGTCCCTATGTGTGAAGGCCAAGTTTAGGATGGAAATGACCCTGAGCAAAGTAGTGAACTCCTCGAGACAGCAGTGAGACTGACCTGAAAGTCAGAAGATAACTGTGACAAGGTTCTGGATGGGGTAATATGGACTTGTGGGGTATTCTATAAGAGGTTCTAGAAATGGTATAAGGAATATGGTATATGTGTAGTCTGTGTGGCCCAGTGTGTTGGGCAGCATGAGAAAAGGTGACCTAGAATGAACTGTCTTCTGGAGGGAGCCAAGTTTCTTAGAGAACCAGAAGATGGAAAAATTTGGAGGAGCTCTAGGAAGAAGGGGAGTTTGTTAATAATACAACAGGAGTTCCAGAAGGCATAGTGCATGGGAAGGACAGAAGAAGATGAGCTATGTGAAGGGGTAGGGCCCACTGAGACATGGTGGGAGAAAGGATTTTTTTTTTATATTGACTCAGTGACAGAGGTAAAGGGGGCAAGAAGAGGGCATTTTTTGCCAGCTGTAAGATAGGAAGACCAACACTTGATTGAAACCCCCATCTTTTGAGATCTTGTAATAACTGAGCACGATGTTGTTGTGGGCAAGTGCTGTTAATAACAAATGGTTTGTTACTCCAAGCACTCCAAGAACTCACTTTCATTGCCAGCCATGAATATCTGAATTTCAGAATTAGGGGTAGAGAGAACATGGAAATATCCATAGCTGAAAGACCCCATGGCAAGTGAGCACTGTGCCTTTCCAGTCCTTGATTCCTAGAAAGGACAGGGTCTCTGGTTCCCTAAGCCTTTGGATCTGATGGTTGCAGGTCTGCAAGTGTTTTGATTCACTTGAATCCTTCTCAGCAAGTAAAACTTCATTGGTATAATCACTCTAGTCCTTGGACTTGGAAAACTTCAGAGCCTAGGTAGTTAAAATTAGAATTTAAAAATCTTTTTAAACTTTGCATACGCTATAATTAAAATGGAAATTTCCATAGTGCCCTTTTACAAACTACTTGAAGACCTGCTTGAATCTTGAAAAAAATAGGTAATTCATGTTAATGATTAATACAGTTTAGCTGGAATTCATGTTAATGATTAATATGGTTTAGCTAGAAAAGAAGTTATTTAAATAGAAGTAAGAGTGTTATAATTTCATCTATAAATTGCTTTGTCTTTTCTAGGTGTAATGTGAACTGGGGGCTAGTTACTTCCATCTTTGAAACATTGGGAAAATGACAACATACACAACCGTTAACTCTTGAAGAACACTGTACTAGGTTCTGGGAAGAGAAACCAACTCATTTTTCTCTTTAAAACAAATAATGGGCATTCACTTGATAGTTACTTGTTTGGGATGTGCAGTGCACTGTCCTATGTAATAACGGAAGTGCGGAATTATTTAAGACATGGTGCCTGCCCTCTAGGATTGCCCAAAATCACAAATACTTAACTGTTAAGTGAGCCATGTATAGCATCTCACTCAGCCCCTCCAGTCTAGGGGATCTTAATCATTTTTCTGTCATGGACCCCTTTGGAAGTCTGGTGAAGCCAAGGGACCCCTTCTCAGAAGATTGTTTTTAAATGCCTATAATAAAAGATTGGATTACAAAGGGAACCAGATATATTGAAATAGCTCTTAAAATACTGAAAATCACAAATCCATGAACCTCAGGTTAAGAACTCTTGCTATAGACATTAGTTAGGTCTGGACCATGAGCTATTTACTTAACCCCACTGTCTCCTAACTCAACTGTCCCCAGTGCTTGAAGTTGATTCCTTTTTTATCTTTGCCCATTGAAGGCTTTCCTTCTAGATTCTGTTTAAATGTTTCATCATTCCTGAGGCCTTTCCTGATCTACCTCCCCCACTTGCTCCTCAAATTTTCCTAGAGCATTTTGTTTTAATTTGACTTTTGCTCAGATTACATTGTACTTGCATCATTCTTACATATGTGTACTACTCCTCCTGGAGTAGGGCAAGGGTGTGGGGTGGAGGGGAGTGAGGGAACCCCCAGGCAGCTCCTCGAAGGCTGGGATTGTGTTATTTTTTTTATCTTTGTATTAACATGTGGGCCTAGTTCCTTACATGTAATAAGTGATTAATATTTGTTGAAGTAAATTGGTTTCATAAAAATACAGTGTTAAAATGAAAACAGAATTACAAGAGGAAATTAGATTCATAGACACAGTGGATCTCCAGTGATTGTCCAAGCAACATTGCTTTTGGGTTTTGTGATTCGGTACCGTTTAATAATAATCTATTAATGATGTTATTGTGAAATTGTCTTGGTTAGAGTTAAGGTATGCCAGAAGTACATTTTTACAAACTTTTCATTAAAAGCAAAATAAAAGTGTGGACTTTTATTGAAGGATTAGTTCTCAGTTGTCTAGGGTATTTAGCACTCCAGAATGACTCATTCCTGAAGGGTCCTGAATATTTGAAATTTTACTATATTTTAGTTAATTCATATTTTAGGTTTGTTAAGAGTTCCGGTGTAGTTCTCTAAGTAAATGTATTTGTGCTTACTTAGAACTTTTTCTCAATCTTCTCACCATTTGTTTTGAAATGGAAAACTAAGGAATGAATAGCTTTGATACTTATATCTAAGTCTGTTCATTTTCTCCCACGTTTTTGTCTTAGGGCTCATTATCCTGGAACTCATACTATACCTGCAGCCCTGGCGACCAACAAAATACTCTGGTCTTCGGAAGATTATAGCACTTTCAATAATGAAGTGGGTGGAGGCTGCTGGGCCCGCATCTTGAATCAGAATTATGTGAATGGCAACATGACTGCGTGAGCACATTTTAATAACAGTCCACTGAAATAGCTATACAGGGGTGTGCTGGAACCAGTTCAAATGACTTGAGAGAGTTGATTGTTAAATTTTCATTGTGAACATTTACACCTTGGAAATTGGCAAGTGCTACAACTCAGGGCTTGATTTATTGTTCTGTTGACTGTCTAGACTTAAGAAAGTGATGGAGAAAATGTGAATAATGCAGATTAAGCTTAAATGTATTTTGTGCCTACATTTTTTTTCTGGAAAGCTGGTTAAACATTTACTAGCACACTCAGGTATGAATGATCTATAATTTGGTATAAATTAGAAGCTCAAAAGAAAAAAAAACAACGAAATATGACTTAACTCTTGTTAAGTGAAAAGTATCAGAAGCAAGGGAAGAGGAATTTTTTTGACTACGGTTTTTGACAGTTCTTGATTTTTTTTTTTTCCTTTGAGAAAAAGGAAGTTTATCTAAGAGTTTTCAAAACTGTTGGGGTTGGGGAGCTTTAAGCTTCTACAAATTTAAATTGCATCATAAAGTAATTTTGGTCTTTCTTATTTGCCAAACCAATTTTTCAGCACAATCGCTTGGAACTTGGTGGCTAGTTACTATCAGCAACTACCTTTTGGAAGAGATGGATTGATGACTGCTCAGGAGCCCTGGAGTGGGCATTATGTTGTAGAGAGTCCTATCTGGATTTCAGGTAAGCATCAGATTCCTCCCTGTAATTCTCCTCCACTTTTTTTTTTTTAAGGCAATTGGGGTTAAGTCACTTGCCCAGGATCACACAGCTAGTAAGTGTCAAGTGTTTGGTCTGAGGCCAGATTTGAACTCAAGTCCTCCTGACTCCAGGACCAGTGCTCTATCCACTGTGCCACCTAGCTGCCCTGTGTAATTCTCCTTCAAAGAGATAAAATACAATGTCTTTAGAATGAACTTATGACAATTTAACCGAAGAAATAGCTTTTATTGCCAGGATTTTATGTAATGTCAGTTAAAATTGTCCTTTGGAAGACTGTAGCATAGGCTTACATTCATACCAATTTCGTCACTATAGGGGCTTACTCCTGTTCTGGTGCAGATCACAACCTCTTCATCCGTTCTCATCTTTTTGCTTCTGTTTCCTGTTATTCTTCCATTAGAGAATCCAGCTAGCTCCCCTAGGTTGAATAGATGCAGGTCACAAGCACCAAGCATGATTACTATTACTATCATTTTGTATGAATCATTTTTCTTAAGTATTGAGAGAAGTCAGAAATTTTATTTTAGGTTCATGACTATGTTCTTCTTTTTATTGACTTCTTCAGGGATTTTGTGTTAATTCAAAGTGACTTGCCTTTCATAAAGAGGAAAGACTTAAGAAACTAGCAATATTGACTTTGAAAATGGAGAAATCTCATTAAATAGTTGAATGATGTGAAATTCCGTTAAGATATGGAATAATAGGAATTGAGATTTAAGTTACAGATTAGATTAAGGTCTATGAATAATTAGTAGGTTAGTTATATCTTGTTTTCTAATTAATTTGGGGACCAGTTTATTGCTGGATATATTTTAAGTATCCTGTTTTTAGATGAACAGAACTAGGGTTTTTTTTTTAACTAATTCAATACTCTACAAGTTACATTTTTGTAATTTGTTATTCTCATATTAAATTGCTGTTTTAGTTGTGAAACATGATATGATAACTTTGTGGGGGGAAGAAATCACTCAACAATTAATTCAACAGACTTCCGTTAACTACCTACTGTGAGTCAAGAAGAAATGAAAAATAACCTTTTTACTGAAGAAGCTTATATTCTATATGCAACCCTTTCACCGATAAATAAATGTAAGATAATTGTGGAGGAGAATGTTGACAACCATGGGGCTCAGTAAAGATTTTTCAGGGGATGGCACCTGAGCTGAGCCTTGAAGAAAGCAGGAAATATAAGAGGCAGAAGTGAGAAGAAAGTATTTTCCAGATATAGGGAACAGTCTCTGCAAAGGTATGGAGGTGGGAGATTGAACTGAAAGATCAGGGAAAAGAAAATAGGCCCAGTTTGATTGATACATAGAATGGTTAAAAGAGTAAATTGAAATGTCTGGAAATGTCAATGTTTGGTTGGAGCTAGACTATGAAGGGCTTTAAATGCTGAGTTAAAAAATTTCCCTTTTATCCCAGAGATTAATCAATAGGAAGCTAATGAAGTTTCCTGGGAAGGAAATGATGTAGCCAAAACAGTGCTATAGGAAGATTATTTTAGTAGTTGTGTGGAAACGGATCAAAGAAGGAAGAAGCTAGGAGAACGATTAAGAAGGTATTGGAAGAGTTTCAGTGAAGGTGATGAGGGCTTGTAATGGGTAGTGGCAGTGGAGGTAAGGGAACAGATGACAGAATTATTGTGGAGGTAGATTTGACAAATCTTGGCACCTCATTGGATGAGGGAGGGGATGGTGTGTGAGGAAGGGGAAGAGTCGAGGATTACTCCAAGGTTGTAAACTTGGTTACCTTGAAGGATGTTGGGACCTCCAATGAAAATGGGAAAGTTTGGAGAGGTAATGGATTTAGGGGAAGAAATAGAATTCCATCGTAAATATTCTGAATTTGTGATGCTTATGGGACTTCTGGCTGGAGATATCTAGAGTAATTAGGTCTGGGTGTGTGTGTGTGTGTGTGTGTGTGTGTGTGCGCACGCACGCGCGTGCGTGCGCGTGTGCATATACATTATGTATATATACAAAGAGAGTGTGAGAGAGAGAGAGTCATCTGCACAGGTATCATTGATACGAGAGCAAGCACTCGCTCTCCAAGCCTTCATCAGAAGAGACAAACAGCTCATACATTTCATCTCTAGCCTCATCTGTAGCACCACTTTACCTTCTGTGCCCTAGGTAGGTTCTTCCTCTCTTTAAAACCATAGGTCTTCTCAATGCTGCCACATCAAAAACAATTTCTAATTAGCTGTCTTCTTTTGGATATACAATACAAGTTTCACATTATATACATGTGGACATGTTTCAGCCACGGCTATCATTTACAGTGTATCTTACTACCTCTTATTCTACACTAAATACATTTACCATAATTGTCCAGACTCCAGATTAGAGCTATAAACATACCAGCTAGGTGTAATTGAAACAGTGCAGAATTTAAGTAGGCATCAGAGTTCCAACGTTTTAGTCAGAAATTACCATAGTACAAAGCTGATTGAATTTTGATTCAGGGTAGGTTCTGAATGCACCTCTGTTACTGAGTACTGCCTATGTGAAGTTGGGCAAATCATTTTAACTTTTTTTGGCCTTAATTTCCTTGTCTTTAAAATGAAGGGATTAGCTGGTCCTTTCTTGATTTAAATCAAGTCCACTTATTAGCAGTGGCCAGATTACCACTTGGGGTTCAACTTTTCTTATAATTAAAAAGAGAATAATTATACCTTTTTATCGAGCACTTTCTCTGCAACTTTGTTAGGCACTAGGGATACAAAAATGGACTTTGATCCCCTCTCCCTAAGATCCCCACCCTGCAGCGGGTGTGTCTGGGTCGGTAAGATGGCTTGCTATGGGCAACTCCAGTCAGTTGATAAGGTATTTAGAATTCAGGAATAGCAAAATTTAACTGAAATAAATTGCTAATTGTCTTTGTTTAGTAAGTTGAAATAGATTTTTGATAGATGATTTTTACACAAGTAGAAAACTAATTAAATTAGAACAAAAAAATATAGTTAGCACAGAATGATGCTCATCTCTTTTCTGAAACAAACCTTGAGCCCTTGTTTTTTAATTTCTTTCTGCCTTTCCACAGCTCATACCACTCAGTTTGCTCAGCCAGGGTGGCAATACCTGAAAACAGTTGGCCATTTCCTTAAAGGTGGAAGCTATGTAGCTCTTACTGATGGCTTAGGTAACCTCACTGTTATCATAGAAACCATGGTAAGATTTTTAAAACTGATTTAATTAACTGGTTGCTGTAGAGAGGATTAGTATTTACTAAAATAAAGTATTTTTGTTATGTAACTTTGTTTCCCACAGCAGTTGAAGCACTTCTAGAATGGTTTTCTTTATTTACTCCTCTTTTCTTAGGCTTCTCTTTCTGCTGTTACTCTTATTGCTGGGCTCTAAATATACACTTCCCTGTCCCATACTTTGTTTCATATCCTGACCACCTACCTGGAATGTCCTTCCTCTCCACTAACTTAAATTCTACCTCTCTTTCTAATAACCAGCTTAAATCTTGCCTGTTAGGTGAAGTGTTCTCTGACTGCTCCCACCCTGCCTCCATCCTCTCTACTCCTGTAGAATTTCCTTTGTATATAATGGACTCATGAGATGGAGAGTCTTGTATGAGGAACAACAAAGAGGCCGGTATCACTGGATCTCAGAGTATGTCGTGGAAGGAAGTGTAAGAAGATGGGAAATGTAGGGAGGGGCAGGTTGTGAAGGGCTTTGAATGCCAAACAGGGGACTTAATATTTGATGCTGGAGGTGATAGGAAGCTACTGGAATTTATGAAGTAGGAGGGTGGAATAGTCAGACCTGGGGTTTAGGAAGATTACTTTGACAGCTGAGTGGTAAATGGACTAGAGTGGGGAGAGACTTGAGGCAGGGAAACCAACCAGTAGGCTGTTGTGTAATCCAGGTGTGAGTCAGTGAGGCAGTGTCAGAAGTAAGAAGGGGGTGTGTTGGAGAGAGGTTACAAAGGTAAAATTAATAGACCTTGGATTGGCAATGAGGGAGTGTGGGGAATGAGAGAGAACCTTGATAATGTATTTTATGCTGCTTCTCGAATATGGATCACAGACTTGGAATCTTGGAGGTGGGAAGGAATTCAGAGGGTGTGCCTATGACACAAAACTCCATACCTAACCAAGGATCCTTTATTAAATGGCATGACAATTCCTCATCCAATCTTTGTTTGAAAACTTCTATGGAGGGGGAACTTACTATTTCTTAAGGGAGCCCATTCCACTTTAATTGTTTGGAAGTTTTCCCCTATACCAAGTTTAAATTTGCTTCTTTGCCTTGCTCCCTGGGGTGGAGTAGGGCAAGTGTATGTGACAATACATTTGTTCTATTTGACAATCCTCCAGGCCCTCTATGGAAGCTTGTAAATTTCTCTAGGACAACCATTCTCAGTTTTGTTTTTTTTTTCCATTTCCTTACTAGAATATGGCATTGAGAAGTGAACATAATATTCCTGGACATATTAGTGCCAATTAGGGGGGCTGTCACTTCACACTACTGACTTAATTTTGAGTTCATATACTGAGAGGTTTAGTGAATATCACTTGCATACTAACCAATCCTCCCCTCCCCCCGATATTTCCCAGGTAAACTCTTGTCTAGCTACATCTTTTCTATTCTGTAATTATGTAGTTGATTTTTTGGAATCCAAGTGTAGAACTTTTATTTCTAATCAATATCACATTAAGTTTGGCTAATTGTTTTGCCTGATGATCTTTTTGAATCCTGCTTCAGTTATTCAGTTTATCAGCTTTCCACCTCTGCTTTGTATTATCTGAAGTGTGCCATCCAACTTCCTGGTAAAAATGTTCAACAGCACAGCAAGTCGTCATTGGTAACATTCTTATGCCGTCTTAAAGTCTCTACTCTTCTTTCAATTTACCCTTTAGGTTGTTGTTTTAATTCTTTTGAAATGTGTTCTAGAATTCTTGACAATATGGTATCCCCAAGAGAATGCGGTATTGAGAAAGGCTTTCTGGGGGGGAGACGACAGAATTGGGCGATTTTCTCAGTGCAATCCAACCTGTTGGTGCAGGTATTCTGGAAAGAGGTTTTCAATTATGCAAGAAAAATTAATTAATTATTCATATCCTTTGACCAGAGTTTCCATTACTAGTATCTTATATTGAGAAGGAGATATACACCAAGGACAGCATTTAAATATAAAAATTTTTCACAGCATTATTTTTGATAACAAAAACATCGGAAGAAAAATATGTTCTTATTGATTGGGAAGTAGATGAATAAATTGTCATATGTGAATGTAATGAATTATTCCTGTGCCATGTGAAAAATTCAGAACAATTTGAGTAGACTTGTGTGAAGTGTTGCAGAGAGAAGAGAGCAGAGGCAAAGAACAATATACTTTATAGAGAAAATTGAGGCCATTTGCTGTGAGCTTCTTTTCTTTCCCACTCAGTATCTCAGAATACCTTGATGTTATCTCCCATTCTGCCCATCTTGACTGAAGTCTCTGATGAAAAGGATGAAAGAAAAAGAAGGAAAAGCAAGTAGAGACCTTCCTCTGATCCAGAGCCTTCCATCTCTTGCTCTGAGGGAAGGAGACAAGAGGGCAAGGAACAGCTTCCAACTGGGCCAACACAAGGCAGCTTCTGCCTCCTACTTCCAGCCTGATCTCCGGGGTGGGGGATGTGGAGCACCTCCATGCAAAGAGAGGCAGCCTTCCATTTGGCCTCAGGCCTGTTGCTGCTCCTGTTTCTTAAGAAAGTCATTGGGAGGCAGGCCTTCCGCCTCCTGCTAAGAAGTTTCCTGCCTAATCTTGCAGCCTTTGACACTGCTGATCACCATCTCCTCCTCTATAACCTCGTCTCTCCAGGCTTTGAGGACACTCTCTCTTGGTTCTTCTTCTACTTATCTCACTGCTCCTCTGTCTCCTTTGCTGGATCCTCCTCCAGATCACAGTCCCTAACCATAGATATTCCTCAGGGTTTTGTCCTGGCCCCTCTTCTCTTCTTCCTCCATATTGCTCCCTTTGGTGATCTCATCAGCTCCCATGGATTTCATTACCATCTCTAGGTTGATGATTCTCAAATATATCCAACCTTTCCTGACCTCTAGTTTCACATTTCCAGCTGTCTGAAAGACAGACTCTCACAGTGGATTTCCAGTAGACATCTTAAACTCAGTGTGTCTAAAACAGAGCTCATTATCTTTCCTCCTAAATCCTCCCTCCCCCTCATCCTACCTTCCTTATTACTGTTGAGGGCAATGCCATCCTCCTACTCTTTCCAATTCACAACCTAGGAGTCATCCTGGATTCCTCATCTCTATCCAAGCTGTTGTCCAGACTTTTTGATTTCACTTTGGCAACATCTCTAGAATAGGCCCACCTGGATTATTACAATGGTCTGATGGTGAGTCTGCCTGCCTCAGATTCCTCTCTCCTCTAATCCATCCTCCATTCAACCACTAAAGTGATTTCCCTAAAACTCAGGTCTGATCTTGTCACTCCTCTACTCAGTAAACTCCAGTGACTCTCGATTGCCACTAGGAGCAAATATAAAATGCCCTGTCTGGCATTCAAAGCCCTTTATAGCATAGGTGCCTCCTTCCCTTCCAGTCTTCTTACACCTTACTCCCCTCCACGAACTCTTCAATCTAGTGACACTGGCCTCCTGGCTCTTTTGTGAACAAAACAAATGGGGAGAGAGGGGAGAAAAACAGTTCAACAAAACTAACCAACATGTCAACCAAGGCTGACAGTATGTGCAATATACTTGATACATATGAGTGATTTACTCTACTGGATATCTTTGTGGCCACTTACCTAACTGAAAGGGATAAGTCGGTATCTGTTGAAAATAAAAATCTGTATTTCATGTCTATAGCTATTTGTCTGTAGGTAGATAGATGTAATTGAGAACTATTTTTTTCATCTTTTCCATAAAATTACTGTTGAGCTGAAGAAATAGACATAAATTAGTGGGAGATTAATGAAATATGTTTTTCAAGTAAATTTATTTTGGATGGCTAATCTTATGATATCCTGAGATTTGAAACAATTGATATTTAACTATTTCTTGCCACTCCTTTTTCTTTTTAAAGTATAGCAGTAAAGACAGCTTGGCGTAGTAGAAATAAGGCTGGAATTGTAGTCGAGTAATCTGTATTTGACATTGACTAACTGTGGGACCATAGGCAAGCCATTAAACTTCTGAGCCTCAGTTTTCTTAATCTGTAAAATGGAGTTGCTAATAGTTATGGTGCCTAACTTGTAAAGATCAAGTGGAGGAACATATGTAAAATATAAACCTTAAGTGCCACACAAATATCAGTACTATTCTTTTTTTTTTTTTAAACAAGGGCTGTCTACTTAATTTAGATCTTATTTGGGATTGTTTGTTTGTTTTTCTTTACAGACTCATGAGCATTCAAAATGCATAAGGCCGCCTCTTCCTTTCTTTGAAGTGTCTGAACAAACTGCAAGTTTCACTCTTAAGGGATCCTTTGTAAGTATATATACATAGATATACATGTAGTAACAGGACAAACGTACCAGAAGTCATTCATTATCTCTTGACTGACTAATATTAGTTACCTTGCAGAGAAGCTTAGTGTAACCTTAACTTAGTGTCTTTTTTGTAGTTCCAGAATTACAAGGTCATGTGCTTTGAAGTTTTTTGTAATGATGTAACCATTACATTAATTACAATACAACCATTTCATTAATTGCTTAGGATGAACCCTTTCATGAAAGGTTATCCTGAGAACTTTGTACTTAAGAAGAGACAGGATTACTGCAGTTTCTACACAGTGATGCATTTAAAGACTGAAAAAAACCCAAAGTTTCTCAGACTGACTTTTTCTGCAGAAGATAAAGTGAAGCATGTATAACACTTTAAAACTGAACTTTTATACATGGGCATTTTAACATGGTACTAAATATTCTATTCCAGGTTTTTTTGTTGGTTCCCCCCCCCCCCATATTGGACCTGTTTTTCTAAATTCCCCATGTATATGTTGCTATTAAAATGGAGCAGTATGAGACTGGAGTTTAGAAAGGGAAGACGGCTTACAACATCTTTGGAGTTCTTAAACACACACCTTTGCATAGCTAGCAGCATGGCCGTTGGCATCAGCAAACCCTTGGTTAATCAGAATTTAAAAGGCTACTTGTACAAAATGGGATTATACATGAAACTTCTGTGAATGAAATCTTTTTAACTTTGACTTTGACTATTTCAGAGATAGCTAAAATTTCATGTTGTTTCTATAGAAAATGGAAAACCCAGACTCCTTATAAGTAGCAACAATTGAATAAAGGAGTCGTTCCTTGTCCTTCCCCATGTTTCTTTCTGTTCTTAAAGACAGAAAAAATTACTTATATGCCAGTGTCACAGATTCAAACTGAGTTAAATTAGCTCTTCCATACCCACTGTTGTCAAAACATGTTGCTTTATTTGCAAAAGCCCTCAGAGACAGACATTGAAATCTTAGCACCCCAAACAATGTCTGTCATTTCAGTGAATGCTGACTGTCTATACAATATGGATGAAAAATGGTTACATCAGATCCTACCTTTTACAACTACTGCTTTGACTCTACCTTCAGAGGTTTAGTGTTGTCTTTTTCTGCAGTTGGGAAGGAGTCTGGTGGAGAAAAGAAAACCTTATGTTTTGCTCTCAGAGTTGAAGGTGGCTGGTAAATTTAGCATATTTTGACATTGTTTGTTTTTTGTTGTTGCTGATTTTGGAAATTCTAAGGCTGGCCTAGCCTAGCCTAAGGAAAACTCTTATCTTTTTGATGCTTTTCTCTTCTCAGAAAGAATTAAGAACGCTCCAGTTATGGTATTCCAAACTCGGGAGCAAAGCTGGGAATACCTCTGTCTTATTCAAACAGCTACCTCCTCTAAAGGTAGGAATTAGTTGTATTTAATAGAAAGCAAAACTCTTTTCAAGGCGTAACAGGCCTTTGAGTGAGTAGTTTTGTGTTCTGTCCATTCCAAGCAAACATACCATTTTGTATCTTATCTGCTTTCTCTGTTGATGAAATTCGACTCTCTTAAGTTATTGGTCTTAGCACTGCCCTCTGTATGTAAAGTGTGTGTAAAGTCTTCACTTTGATGTAGTCTGTGCCTGGAAACAAACTTGTAAAGTGGATTGTCATAAAATAGATTGTTTTTCCATGGTAGCAACGTCTTAATCAGGGCTTGTGTTCTGAACCAAGGATTTGGCATGAAATCATAGCTATGACTAATAATTTATCACAGAAGCAAAGCTAGGAAAACTGTAAACCTGTCCACTTTAAAGTAGTAACATTTTGCTCCAGGTCCTATAAAATGGACATAAATTGTTTTTGTGCATTTGTTCTGAAAAGAAGGCCAGTGTACTCCAAAGTGTACATGTAACACATAAAAACACCACTATCATAAATCTGACCTAAAACTTATGTACTAGCTATGGTAAATATGAAATATTTAAATAAACAAATTCTGAGTAAACAATAGCATTTTATGGTCTTTTCTACCTTAATGACATCATAAAGATAGATATGGCTATAAAACAAGTAGAAGGGACAGGTCCTGAAGGGGAAGAGGGAAAGGGAACTAGAAGGAGGGCAGGGGAAAGAGTTTGTGTGTGTGTAAGAGAGAGGGAAAGGGGCAGGAGGCAGGAAGGAGGAGAGAGAAGGATAGGAAGAGAGGGGGAGGGGGAGAGAAGGGAGATGAAAGAAGGGAGGGCCAGACAAAACCTACAGAGAGAGTGAGAGGAAGGAGAGAAGGAGGGAGGAACAGGCAGAACATACAGAGGAGGAGGGAGAGGGACAAAGGGGGGGGAAGGGGAGAGGGAGAGGGGGAGGGAAAGAGGGAGGAATGGAGAACATCCACACACACACGCCACCGCCACCACCACACAACAACACTGAGCGTATTCTACAGGAAAAAAAACACTAGACTTGGTCTCAGAAGATCTTGGTTTGACCTTGGCCAAATCACTTCCGCCTTATGAGTTTCATTTTCTTCCTTAATTGTCAAATCAGTTGAATGATGCTTTTTACCACCATCTCCTTACAGAGTTGCTCTAAGTAAAGTGCTCTGTGATTTATTATTTTCATTGAGTCACAACCGCTTTCTTCTCCATCCTTGAGGCAGGATTCTTTTTTGTCTGCTCTTAAAAAAACTTAACTCTCTGATGGTTTTCTGTGCACTTCATAGATCCTCTAGTGAAAGAATCTCTACAGTTTCCTATGGTAACATGTTTGATTCTTCCAACCACTTAGGAAGTTCTTGCTAAAGTTCTCCCAGAGGCCTCTGAAGCCTTTTCTGATTTCAGCCTGTTCATGTAGGAGCCCCCTTTGGACTTAACCATTATTTTCCCTCTTCCTTTCAGATTGCTAATGGCACAGTCACATTAAAGTTAGGTGTGGATGAAGTATATACTTTAACAACTATCACTGCAGGTCAGAAGGGCAGTTATCCTATTCCTCCAGTATCACAACCATTTCCAACTAGCTATAAAGATGATTTCAATATTCGTAAGTCTTTTTTTTTTAAGTGTCTTAATATAGTCTTTATTTTTTGAATTAAATCAGGTGCCGTACACCGATTTGTTTTCATCATGAAGTCAATGTAAAATTTCAGTCATAAATGGGCTAATCCTCTAGGTTTTTAATTTTTTTTTAATCTCTTTGCAAGAGTAAAGTTGACCTTCAGCCTTCATTGAAGACTTCTAATCTTCCTAGCTTTGAATACATGTTTGACTGGATGATGCATGAATTTTATGGCAAGGGGATCTTATGGGACTTGCCTACTGTCACTGGCAGTAAATCAATCAAAAAGTATTTATTAATGTGCCAGGCACTGTGCTCGATGTGTTGAGAATGCAATGAAAGATTAAAAACAATCACTGCCCTCAAAGAGTTCACATTCTAATGGGGAGACAATGTGTACAAGATCTCCAAAGAGTAGTTCATCTCACAGGGGAAAGCACTACCATGCTGCACGGACTAGGAGAGATGTCCTGTCCTAGGTGGATTTAACTGAGGGAAAGCCAAGGAGACTGAGAGGCAGAGGTAAGAAAGAAGAACATTGCAGGTGTGAGGGAATGGCTAATTCAGAGACACACAGGTGGGAGGGATATGGAGTACCGAATGGGAAGAATAGCTAATAGGCCAGTGTAGCTGGATTGTAGAGAGTGAGGAAGGGAGTAAAGTCTAAGAAAATAGGAAAGACAGGAAAGGTCCAGGTTACACAAAGGTTTAGATGCCAAGCAAAGGATTTTATATTTGTTGCTGGAGTTAATAGGGAACCACTGGAGTGTAGTAAGTAGGGATGTGACATGGTCAGTTCCACACTTCAGGAAGATCACTTGAGCATCTTGAGTGGATGGTGGATTGCATGAAGAGAGACTGAAGGCAGAGAGACCAATTAGAAGACGATTGTCATAGTCCAGGCTAGAGGTGGTGAGGGCTCCAACCAAGTATTGGCCAGGTAAACAGAGGGAAAGAATGTGTGGGAGAGTACTGTGAAAGTAGAAAGGCTAGACAGTATAAGGTTAGAATATTGCTGTGGTGCAGGAAATGATGAGTTGATGGACTTAGGAAAATATGGAAAGACTTGGACTTACCAATGAAGAGGTTATCCATCCTCAGAGAAACAGAGGACAAATAAGTATAGTATGGTTTTACTATATGTCTATATATGACTATGATTATAGATATCTAAGTATGTGTATATGTATGTATACACATGTTTGTGTGTATAGGTGTAATGTATGTATGCGGGTATATACACACACACACTCATATATCTGCATGCTTAATTGTAGCTTTTGGGGGAGGAGGGTAGGAAGGAGGAAAAAAAACAGTAGAAAGTACACAGCAGAGAAGAAAAGAAAACTTATTAGTAAGCAAAGAAAAGATGCTCAGCTCTGAACACAGTGTGTAGTGTTTATTATATAAGCTTTCTTGAAATGGAAGTTTATTGCTGTGTATTTTGAATCCTCTCTTAAATTATGCTGTGCACATGGCAATGCTTTTTTTTCTTTTTTTAAAGTTTTTAAGTATTTAAGTTGATAATGTTTCTTTTTCTTTTCTTATTGTGTGTTTATTTTAGTATTTAAGTTTAAAATAAGTTAATAAAAAAAAACAAAGTAGAAAGGACAAGATTTGGATATATGGGGTGAGAATGAAGAGTCCTGATGACACTAAAGTTGTGTACCTGAGTGCTGTTGTGAGGCTATCAGGAGAAATTCTGCACCCTTTGGACTCCTTGTCCTGGATGTCCTTAGTTGCAAAATCGTTTCTGTCAAGATGTGTCATGATGAAAGCCCACCTTGATGTCCACAAATGCTCAGGAAAGCTTAGACCTATTGAACAACTCCCTTAGAAGCAGCCTGGTTAGATTAACTTTCTAAAAAAGTGGTTTTGAATCTCTTTGGAAGAATTCATTAACCCCAAATTCTCTATGTAGAAGTTTAACTTTCATTGACTTCCATGGATTATCAATGAGTGGGTGAGATTTGGGCTAGTCATACTTGTAGAGCTTCTGCTATGCCAGAAGCTGTTTTTACTCTCATCTCTGAAGCCATGAGGCTATATTCTGAAACAGCAGATCTAAAACTGATGCTATTATTAATTTAGCTATTAAAGCTGTGAAAGTTAGAATTCAAAGGTAATGTGAAGACTTTGACAAGTAAAAATTTACATGTAAAGTATGAGATGTTGTTAGAACTGCTATTCTGTAGTCTTCCACAAGTATGAGAGACTCTTATTTAATAGTAAAGGTGGTCTTGTGGACGGGTGGAGCTTGAGACGAAAACTACATTATATTAATTCTCAAGAATGGGGGGAAAAACCATAATTTCCAGCTGTTTTAGCTTCTTTATGGTCCTTCTACACATAATATAATGAAACCTGAAATTTTTGCAAGGAAAAGGACTATGAGAAGTACATTCAAAAGACATTAGAAACAAATTGCAGTGATTGTCTCCTAGTAAAGGAAAAGAATATGTGATTTCAAAAAATGGGTTAAAATTGTTATACAAAATTTAATATATTTAACTCATTATATAGGAGATAATAATTGCTAATTCTTTATTGACACAGAATTTAAGCCCTGGTCAGTTTGTGTGTGTGTGCATGCATGTACATGTCTAGACATGTATACAAATACATACATGTTCATGTACATATGTATTTTATACACATGTATATATGCATGATTTCTTTGTTTTGGTTGATTTTTTTAAAAAATTGCTCCATGAATGATTAGAAATATAAATCCAAACTATTTACTTTTGTAAACAAAATGATGACTTCCTTATTTTCAAAACAGGTAATCCACCTTTTAGTGAAGCTCCAAATTTTGCTGATCAGACAGGAGTATTTGAATACTTCACCAATGTCGAACACATGGGGGACCATGCCTTTACCTTACGCCAAGTGGTCACTACGCGACCTATCACTTGGGCCTTTGATGCAGATCAGACGATCAGTATAATAGGAGATTATAACTGGTAAGTCAGTCGGTACTACAGGTGCTGGCTTGCTATCTCTGGTCCATTCTGAGGCAGTTCCAACAGTCAGTCTTGTGTTGCTATGTAGTGGTTGCTAAACATCTCTTTGATAGATTTGTGTTCTCATCACTTTTGGCAAACTACATTTCCCTCTCTGGGCTTCGGTTGCCTCATTTATGAAATGAGGAAGTTAAATTAGCTAGTCTGTAAGGTCTCCAAGTTCTCGCCGCCTTTGATTCTCTGATGACAAAATTGTAAATTCCTTCTTTTTGAGGAGAGAGAGCACACTTTAGGTCACTGAGATAGGAGCATTTTGACTTAAATGTGAAAATGGACAAATCCTAGAATGAAAAGTAACTTCTGATTCATCTGATAGTGGGCTCACAAGTACACATGTTTCATATTCTGTACATCGCATTTTATAGCTATTGGTCTCAGATTGCCACCTGCTGGATGAATTTAAGGATTGTGTTGATAATTCCTGTTGTGAAATTTAAGGTGAAATATTGTCCTTGTCTGGTAGGTGGCATTAGTAAGAGGCAAAAGCAGCTTTTATATTTAGGGTAAGTATTACAACTCAGAACTTTACTCATTGCATTGAGTCACGTGTTGTCTTCTCTACCTATTGTAATATTAAATCAGAGAGACGTGGTGTAAAGAGTGAGGAAATATAGGTTAAAACTCTGACATCAGCATTTGCTCCTCTGTGGTCATGGGGGTTTCCGGGTGAAAGGGATAGGATGGTTCTGCCTTGGTTTTTGACATGCATACATTCATATCTCAGCCTTCCTGGGACTTTATGCTCTTTTTTGGGAGAGGAGCATATAATCTTTCACCTTTGTGTCCCTAGTGCCAAGCTCTGTGCCTTACACCAATAACAAGTCCATCAGTCAGTCAGCCAACCAGTGAGTATCTAGTAAGTACTTATTTTGTTACAAGGACCATGCTAAGTATTAGGAATAGCTAGGCAATTGAAGTAAGTTATGAGTTGTACCAACAAAAAAATTTGAGATTTTTTATCCAAAGTGGTATAAACTTTTAAAAAAGTGAGTTAAAAGCTACTGTTCCCAGGTTGGGAAAGGAATTCAATTTGAGGCCACTAATTTGATCCAAAGATGCAAGCTCTTTTAATAAAGAGCTTATTGTATAGTCTGAAACTTAATTTTTCTATTCAGATGAAAAATATTTATTATGTGCCAACTATTTGGAATAATAATGTTATAACTGAGAGGAACCTTACATTTAATAAACATTTATTAAACACCAACTTTGTGTGGCAGCTAGGTGGTACAGTGGATTGAGGGCTGACTTTGGAGTCAGAAAAACCAGCTGGCTGTGCCAGTGGCCAGTCCTCGACAATGAGGGCACCCACTTCAAAGGGTTATTGTAGGGATCAAATGAGGTAGTAAAGTATGTTCCAAAAGTTGGAATGCAGTTTTAAACTGATAGAGCTTTAAAATTGCTTTCCAACTTTTGGAACACTGGATATGTACAGTACTTCACTATGTAAGTGCTAGCTACTGCTTTCATGAAACCTTTTCCAAACTCAATCCCATACTGATTTTTCTCCCCATTTGGTACTCTGTTGATGGATGGGTGGGCTAATCCTTGGATGACGTGCAGTTTATCACTGTACTTGGAGCTTTCCCAGCTAGAGTAGGACCTTCTGGAGCTCAAGATGCAGCTGCTGTAGATTTTGAGAGTCTAGGGTAGGAATGGGGAACCTGTGTTAACAAAACCTCCTTAACAAAAGGATTTGTTCTATGAAGTTTGGATTCAGTCAAAGGGCCGCACTTGAGGACTAAGAGGACCACCTGTGGCCTCGAGGCCGCAGATCCCTGACCCCTGTAGGTCCACCTCTGCATCACAACAAAGCATCAGAGTGGGATTTCAGTGCTATTGAAAGGCTGCATCTTGTGTTAAAATGATAGCGCATGTAATGTTTACTGTTTCAGGCATTGAGGGAGTGTATTTTAGCTGTGGAGCACACTGCACAAATACACAGAGGCAGAAGGGGGCAGAGTAAGATAAGGAAATTTGATTGCTGTTTAGAGTGCATAAAGGAAGTAACATAAAATCAGGCTGGAAGGGTGGGTTGGAGCAGGTGGAAGATTTCTGACCACAGGAATTACATGGTCAGCTGCAGCTTAGAGGATCTCTAAAGGATGAATTGGAAAGGGAGACCAAAGACACTGAGACCAGTGAAGAGGTTATTGTAGTAGTTCAGCCATAGATGGGGGGCTTAGGGCACATCTACTCTGGCTTCTTTCATCTTCTGTATGAGGGAATTGAGGCCCAGAGCAGTTAGATAAATTGTTGAAGACCACTAGCCAAATTGGCAGGGCTGGAACTAGAATCCCAGATTTATTTATCCCAGTCAGGGGTTATTTCTCTTGTACTGGGATGATTCCTGACAACTAGGAGTTGCTTATCTTAAATGATTTTAAACCTGTACCAATATAATCATAGTTTTGGAAGAGATCATAGAGACCTACAGGAGTGGGGAACCTTGAGGCCACATGTGGCCCACCTCTGATTCTCGTCCATCATCCCAACCTGTGCACCCCTCTGTGATAGTCTATGATATCATCAGTCCACTTCTAGTATTAATTTTAATTTTTTTATTTTCTTGTGAGGCAATCAGGGTTAAGTGACTTGCCCAGAGTCACACAGCTAGTAAGTGCCAGGTGTCTGAGCCCAGATTTGAACTCAGGTCCTCCTAACTCCAGGGCCAGTGCTGTATCCATGGTGCCACCTAGCTGCCCCCACTTCTAGTATTAAATGGGGAACTCAGGATCTTATAGCAGCCTATTCCATTTTTTTTCACACCTCTAATTTATTAATTGTAATTACAACATTTACAAAATATGTAGGAACATTTAGCCTGTTACTTTACACAGTAGCTTTTCAAAGTAGAAATAATAATTTCCTTATTGGAATGATTAAGAGGTTGAATTGTAAGGTTCCTTCCAGTTCTAGTATTCCATGATGCATGCCCTAGTCTCTCTACATAGAGAGAAACTTGCAAGCACAAATTACAATTTAATTCCCCTCTAAATAGCCTTCCTGCCTTGTGTTTCTTTTGCCTCTAGTTATTATTGTCATATTGCTCTTTTTAAAATATTACTTTCATCATATCACTTTCCTGCTCAGGAGCTTACAATGACTCTTCATTGCCAACCATATCAATTCTTAAGTTCCTGGTCTTGGCTTTCAAGACTGTCTATGAGATGCTCCCTTGCCAGATGTCCTTCAGCTTCCCAACTGTCCTCTAGCCACACAGTTCTACTTCCCACATAGACCATTACTTATTTATGTGTCTGTGCTTTTTTCCCCCACCATTTTCTTTGCTTTGAATACTGTTATTATTTCTCTTCCATTATGTAAATAGTTTTCCTGTCAAGATGTGGGTTACATCCCACCTCTTCCATGAAACCTTTTCTAAAGTTAATCCCACACTGATTTTCTTCCCTGTTTAGCACTCTGTCCAATAATCATTTCAGGGGGCAAACTCTTTGAGGGAGGGCTGAACCGCTGTTACATTTATGTCTATCTCATTAGCACCCAGCAGAGTGGTGAGCAAATAGTAGGTTCTCAGGAACTAATTACTGGTTTGACTAAGTTATGTTACAGCTTATTGCAGGCTAAACAACATATTTATGCCATGCAGATGTCACCTGTTTGATGTCCTGAGTACCTTAGTACAGTCCTCTAAAGTGCTCCATGCCTTTGATGTATAAGAATTTCTACGAGAGGCTGGTGTGTGGTACACACCTTTAATCTCTCCTACTGGGGAGACAAAGCTTTTAAGCCTGGGAATTCTGAGTTGCAGTGGGCTAAAGCCAATTGGGTTGTATGTACTAAGTCCAGGACCAGTATGGTGAGCCTGTGGGAGTGGGGGCCATCAGGCTGCCTAAGGAGGTTGGAAATGGGGTAGATCAAAGCTCCTTTGCGAAATAGAGTGAATTTGGGCCTGTAGCCCCTCCACCACTAGCCTGGTTGAGGTAGGAAACTCAGTCTTTCTTTAAAGGAAAAAAAAAATTTTCTATGAGACAATTTGGAAGGACTGTTGATTTTGTTGCTTGCATAGGTTGGTATAGGTTGGTAAAGAATAAATGGCTAATTTTAGAAATTGTTTGAATGGAGAAGGAAGTTTAGGGTGCTTATTTAAAGTTCTACTTAAGTAGATCAAACCTCATTTTCTAGAAAAGTACAGAAATAGTGCCACCAGTTGTAAAAGTGCTTCATTTTGCAGGAGACTGTCCCCCTCTCTTGTTTAGCTTTCATGGAGTACCAACAGAATAATTTTAGCACCCTGAGTAACTTTAACTGAAGCCGTGTAAAACTTTCCATCTTGTTAGCAGCCATTGATTATAATCAGATTGGCAACCAGAAAATTGCCTTTCGTTGCATATATCTGAACTCTGCAGCCTGAGTACCAAATTTACTTAGTTTATTGGCTGATATATATTTTTTTCTTTTGCTTTCGTCAGCACTACAGAGGAATTATGGCTGTGGAAGAGTGAGCTGCACTCTCTTCTATTTCATCCATTATCTGTAAAATTTCCTGATAAGTGCTGAATCCAGAATCACTTATTATGGGTTGTGATATGTGAGGCAGAAAAAAATTGTGTAAGGTCTCTCTCAATTTAAATAGATAGATGAGTTTATCGTGCTGTCTATGCTACTTGTGGTCCTTTTAAACATCTGAGTAGCAGGAATGAAGTAGAGAGTATGTACTACATAATTGATTAAATATAGTTTCTTCCCAGTAAGTTTACAGGTTAAATAGCAAAGAGAAATATTTTTATCCTTATACATACACTTGTAATTGTGAAAATTAAGATTGTTTTTGTCAAGGAGTTGTAGAAAGCCATAATTTGACACAGCTGAAAGGGGCCCCAGAGTTTACCTAGTGTATAATCTCTTTATATTACAGATGTGGAAGCTGGGACATTGGCTTTTCTGTAAAGTACTCCCTTCCCTCCATTTGTTATTGTAATGTTGAGGTGATTTTCTTAATTGCAATTTCATTTTGAAGATACTGCTTTAGTTTTATTTTCCTTTAAATTAAATAGTCATTTCTAGTGTGTGAACCGATAATTCCAGGACCAACACTCACCTACCTACGGTGTCTGGGATATGATGAGAGCTTAATAAATACTTGTCTGTTGGTCGAAGATCATCAGTAAAAAGGGATTCTGAGAGCTAGAGAAAACCCCCACTTCATTCTGGTTCCCCACTTTCATTCTTGTCCACCTTACTCAGAATTTCATTGAAAAAATGTCATTTGTTTGCCCCTAACCTCACAGTTTGGAATACTTGTTCATCATTAAATAGTATATGAATTAATTTCAGAGATAATATAATTTGGTTTTTGGTCATTCTTCACACACAATTGAATAAAGTGATTGCAACCATGCAATTGTCCCTGGATGGTCTAAAATAAACCTAGGGAGAGTTCATTGTGAAAACTATAGTTATTCCAGATTGTTTAAAAATGTTTTATTTGGGGGGGGATGAGTTTCATTGATGTCTTTTTTTTTAATATCATTTGACATTTCTTACCTCCTTCTCTGATTAGCTGTGCCCCACCTCCCACCTCAAAATTGAACCCTTCTTTGTAAAGGAGAAAAGCAATGAAGCAAAAGCACCCCAAACAGTGATCATGTCTGACAGTATAACCAGTATTTAGCCTAGTCGTACCCCCAGGCCTCTGCTCAAAGGTGGAGTTTATATTTCATCATCTGATTTCCAGGGCCGTTATCTTTTTTTTTTTTATAAAATTATCTTGAGTTTGGCTTCCTTTTTTATTATTTAAAAAATATATTCTTGGAGAATTAGTGACTAGATTCATGTTTATGTTGTTTAAAAGGGGAAAGGAAGTCAGTAAGCATTTATATAGTGCCTACTGTGTGCCAGGCACTATACTAAGTGCTTTATGATTATTATCTCATCTGAGTCTCAAAACAACCGTACAAAGTAGGTAATGTTATTATCCCCATTTTATAGTTGAGGAAACTGAGGCAAGCAAGTTAAGTGACTTGCCCGTGAGTGTTTATAGGCTAGATTTGAAGTCTGGTCTTCCTGACTCCAGAACCAGTGCTCTATCAGCTACACCACCTAGCGATCCATTTAGGATGTGAGACAAAGTTAGCTGCCAATCAAAGCTTTGTTTCATGGGATTCCCTAGCCCAGACCTGTACAGCGTGGCAGTGGGTAGGGGCCAAAATTAAAATAGGCTAACCTTCTTCAGGCCACGAATAGATTTTTAATGGCTCACTTTTCAAGTAAAGATATAATTATTAATGACTAACCATTTTGCAAATAAACCATATTGAAAAAAGGGAAATTTCAGTTAATATCAAATAATTACACTTATTACTTAAGATTTTTATGTATCATGAAATCGTAGGCTAGAGGCATACTGACAACGGTTGGTTGCTGTGGGTCATGTGACAAACGAGAGTGCGCAGTGGCAACCCACCCACCAAGTTACATGACAGTCACTATTGTGACTAGCCGAAGGTGGGTTAAGCAGGGTGTGGACAAAGCACTTGTTACATCTTTACTTTCTTTTACATCTTCTACATTTTTCACAGGCCACCTGAAATCCTTTGCGCAGGCTGTATGTTGTTCAGGCCTACCCTAGCCAAAGAATTCTTTACCAGTGCTCAGTCTCCTGGTTGTGATTCTATCCAGAGCAGATTCAGCTTTTTACCCAGGACCTATGTACTTCTAACCTTTCCAGAGTGTTAGAACTTACAAGAGCTAGAATCCAGGGTCTCCTCCTTATCAAAATGTGGCTTCAGAGTAGGACTTCACAGAGGAGTTGCAAAGCAGTCTTCTACTAGTTTGTACCTTCCTTCTGGACCCTTAAGTCTGGTTATGTTTAAAGGTAAATACTTTTCTACAGAAACAATGAATTTATTTGATTTAGTTCATATGAAAAATGGCAAAAACTAAAAGAGCAGAGGAATTCTGGTATCTAGCCTCCTTGAGGCAGCTAGGTAATGCAGTAGATGGAATGTTGGACATTAAGTCAGGAAGACCTGAGTTCAAGTCCTACTTTAGACATTTATTTGGTTCTGTGGTCTTGGATAAACCACTTGGATAAATCACACTTCTGTCTGCCTCAGTTTCCTCATCAATAAAATGAGAGTAATAAAAGAACCTACCTCACAAGAGTAGTCAGGGTGAAATGAGATCATTATATATATGTAAAGCATTTTTCAGATCTTAAGGTGCTATATAAATATAGTTATCCTTTCTACATCCTGGGAGTTAGGGAGGTGGCACCCCTACAATCCGGAAAATCTGCACAAAATCTTTTGGCCCTCCCTTTGTACCAGAGAAGAAGTCTGAATTTTTTTTTTTAAAGAGGTTTTGATTAATATATTTCTTTTTTAGTTTTCAACATTTATTTCCACAAGATTTTGAGTTCCAAATTTTCTCCCCATCTCATCCCTCCCCCCACTCCAACATGGCATACATTCTGAATATCCCTTCTCCTAATCTGCCCTCCCTTCTATCTCTCCACCCCTTCTCTCATCCCCTTCCCCTTTAATTTTCCTGTAGGGCAGGATAGATTTCTATGTCCCATTTCCTGCATATCTTATTTCCCAGTTGCGTGTGAAAACAATTTTTTTTTTAACTTTTGTTTTTAAAACTTTGGGTTCCAAATTTTCTGCCTTCCTCCCTCCCCACCCACCCTCATTGAGAAGGCAAGCAACTCCATACAGGTTACACATGTGTAGTCATGCAAAACACTTCCATAGCAGTCATGTTGTGATCTGCCCTCCCCTCTATCATTCCCCCTGCTCTCTTGTCCGCTTCCCTCCCTGTTTTCCCTTAGGGTAAGATCATGGCTTTCAGGTAGTCCAATAATTGTTAAATTCTCTCTCCTGGATCTATTTTCCAGGTCAGTTGTTTTTCCAATAAGATATTTCACATTGTTTTCTATTTTTTCATTCTTTTGAATTTGTTTTACAGTGTCTTGATTTCTCAAAGTCACCAGTTTCCAATTGCTCAATTCTAATTTTTAAGGAAGTATTTTCTTCAGTAAGCTTTTGGACCTCCTTTTCCATTTGGCCAATTCTGCTTTTTAAGGCATTCTTCTCCTCATTGGCTTTTTGGACCTCTTTTGCCATTTGGGTTGGGCTATTTTTTTTCAGTATTTTTTTGGGTCTCCTTTAGCAAGCTGTTGACTTGATTTTCATGATTTTCTTGTATCTCTCTCAGTTTTTCCTCTACTTCTCTTACTTGCTTTTCAGAATCCTTTTTGAGCTCCTCCATGGCCTGGGACCAATTCATATTTTTCTTGGAAGCTTTGGATGTAGGAGCTTTGACTTTGTTGTCTTCTTCTGGTTGTATGTTTTGATCTTCTTTGTCACCAAAGTAAGATTCTATGGTCTGACTCTTTTTGCATTGCTTGCTCATGATCCCAGTCAATTATTTGAGTTATAAACTCTTTGTTAAGGTAGGGCTCTGCTTCCAGTGTGGAGAATGTACTGTCCCACGCTTCAGGGGTTGTGTGCAACTGTTTTCAGAGATACTTCTAGGGACCTGTAAATTTTCAGTTCTTCCAAGGTGCTGTGATCAAGGGCAAGGTTTTTACTCCTTTCCTGGCCTGTGCTCTGGTCTATAAGTGACCACAAGCACTCTTTTCTGTCTGAACTTGAGGAGGATTTCCTCTCCACCGCCACAAAAGTTCCACCATGCCAGCGCTTGTCCTCGCCCCAGGACCACCACCCAGAACTGTGACCCAGATCTAAGCACTTGCAAAGCAAGAGAATCCTGTATCAGCAAAGAGATACCTGCAATCCCTTCTGATCAGCCATGGATTCCCCATCAGTTTGTGGGCCTGAATCTCAGGAAGCAGCCGCTGCCCCAGGGCCGAGCTTGGGTACTGGGCCTCAGACTGCACTTCTCACCGCAAACACAGAATTTTCCCACTGACCTTCTAAGTTGTCTTTGGCATTCATGGGTTGAGAGGTCTGGAAACCGCCACAGCTGCCCGTGATTCAGTCCTCTGAGGCTTGCTCCAGGTTCACTGTGGCCTGCGCGCCTTTGCCGAACTGCGCTCCTCTCCCAGCCCAGCGCGATATACCTTTCCCGTCAACCATCCTGGTTGTCTTGGGCTGGAAATTTGTTTCACTCTGTCTTTTTGTGGGTTCTGCTGCTTTAGAATTTGTTTAGAGCCATTTTTTACAGGTATATGGAGGGGTTTGGGGGAGAGCTCAAGCAAGTCACTGCTTTTACTCTGCCATCTTGGCTCCTTCTTTTTCTTTTATGGGGTGTTTACACTACGTTACTATAAAATTTGTGTTAAGTATTTGGTCATAAGCTCTGTGTTGTCTGCTGGCCTTTTCATGTCATCTGTGGTTTCCACAAAACTCCCCCAGAATTAACGTAATATTTAATTTCTTATGATGACCCCACTGCATGTCAAAACCATGATGGGGAAAGTCGTGATGTGGAAGGGATAACCGTATGTTGTAACTAGTATTATTAGTAGTGTAATTAACTACTGGATGGCATTAACTCTGGGAAAAATGCCACTTCTACTCAATATAAACATAGAAGTAAATGCTTCCATGATACATTTAATTTTTATTTAGAAAAATATAATTTTGGTGGGAATTAATATTCAATTTTGTTTTCTAGGAAGAATCTTGTAATAAGTTGTGATGTCTACATAGAGGTGCTATCTGTTGGTGGTGTGTTCATTGCTGGAAGAGTTAATAAGGGCGGGGCAGTCATTCGAAGTGCCTTTGGAATTTTCTTCTGGATTTTTGCAGATGGGACTTACCAAGTTACAAATGATCTTGGTAAGTAAATATTTATTATGTCACTTGATAAACAACTGTTTATTGACTGTTGTTGCTTAGTTGTTTGACTCTTTGTGACCCCATTTGGAGTTTTCTTGGCAAAGATACTGGAGTAGTTTGCCATTTCCTTCTCCAGCGCATTTTACAAAAACTGAAACAAACTTGTTAAGTGACTTGGTCTGGGTCACACAGCTAGTAAGTGTCTGAGGATGGATTTGAACTCAGGTCTTTCTGACTGCATGATGAACTTAGCATAGGGCCTGGCACATGGTAAGTGTTTAATAAATGTTTGCTTCACCCTATTTTTTTTTCTTCTTATGCTCCCCTTCAAGAATTTCACAGTTTAGACAAACTGACCTTGCTTTCCTTACTCATAGTATCCATTAATTCTCCCATCTCTTTGCCTTTGTAGTGGCTGTCCCCAATACCTAGAATGTACTGCCTGATGTCCTGCCCCTTAAAATCACTTAATTCCCTTCAAAATTGGTCATGTAGATAGAGTGAGCAAATTGAAGACTGTAAATGAGACCAACTCAAGATATCAAAATATTAAGTACAGAAATCAGCAAGTCTAACTAAATAATTATGACTTTAGAAGACATTTTTCATTCTTTTCAGAAAATAGTAGATCCTCTAAAAAAGAGAAAGCAGAATTAGAATACAGGCTGAAAGAGACAGGAGAAAAAGTAATGGAAGAAAAAAATTTTAAAACACCAAATAAGATTAGAAGGACATATGAACTTGAATACTGAACTTGAAAAATTGGACGCGAAGAGATCATCTAAGAAATACAGGTCTTTCAAGAAGAAAAAAATCAAGCAAAAGAAAACCCAAATGCTGTACCAAAAGAATAATGGCCAAATAGAGATTTAGAATATCCATAAAGAACCCCTCATATTTAACTGATAAAACATCCTAGTAGAGCTTGAGAACTGCCAAAGGAATAATTTATAAACCTAGATAAAATGATAACATCATTCATTTGGTAGAGCAAGAAAGATCCAGCAAGATAAATAATGGATAAAAGGTAGAAACGAAGGGCACATTAGCACTTCTCCACCACAGAACTATATTATCATGCAGCAGCCAACAAAATATTTTGGTATTGGTTAAAAGAGAATTGATAAATGGGACAGACCAGACTAGGGAAAACCAGATTAACAAAATCAATAAATTAGCTGTCCTGATGAAGAAAAAGAGAGTGGAAAATCAAATTAACAAACTTGAATTGACAGCGAGCAGAGAGGAAATAAAGTGTAACATATACAGTTATACTCCAGAAAACTTAGAGTTCAAATGAAATTGATAAATATCTACAAAAATATGGAAAACGCATATAATGTGTGTTCAGTATGTATCGGACCCATCCAAATATCGCTTCTAAACACAGTAAACAGCTAGAAGTCTAAGACTAAGGAGCTTTGTTTATTCATCTTGCATACCTAACACAATGCTTAACATTGAGTTGGTTCTCAATAACGATTTCGTGAGTAATGGGTAAATCTGATTTTTCTCCCAACTAGACTGTCAGTAACTTGAAGGCATTTGAAATATTTGTTAATATTTCTACATTAAGTTACAAATCTATAAATGAAGCTAGTTAATCATTTCATGAAGGATCATTCCTAAAGGCAAGGATTAAATGTCCTGTTAAGATCCAATCCTGACTCTTGTTTCTGTGACTTAAGTCAGAAGAAAAATAATTCATCCACATGCTCTGTTTTTCTTTTGCAGCTCGATCGTTTGTAATAAAGAAAGGATTTGCTAATGTCAAGGCTAGAAAATGGTACACCCTCACTCTGAATATAAAAGTAAGTAATGCTGTTCAAAGTGCTCACAGCTAAAGCATTCTTTTGTGACAATAAGAATAATAATAATACTTAATATTTATGTAGCACCTACTATGTGCCAGGCACTTTTGCTAAGTGTTTTACAATTATTATCTTATTTGCTCCTCACAGCAACCGTGGGTGGTAGGTGCTATTATTATCCCCACAGATGAGAAAACTGAGGCAGAGGTTAAATGACTTGTCCAAGGTCACACAGCTAGTATTTGAACTCAGGTCTTCCTAACTCTAGTGTTTTATCTACTGCGCTGCCTAGCTATCAATAGCATCTCTTTATTACTTTAATTACTTATTTTTGCCAGCGAAGAGTAACATTGGTACAAATAACAGGAAACTGGATAAGCTACCTAGTTAGGTTGGTACTGAGTGGCTGCTGTACATTAGTAAACTCTGTCCCTAAGATGTCAGGGAAGAGCTTTGGGCCTGTATGTGAATAGTTTTACAGTTGATGCTATTTTTTAGCAGAAATTTTTTTGTTTTTTGATATTAAGGAACTACTTGTTACTAGAAGTAACTGGGCGTTTATTTTTCCTACTTATGCAAATTATAGCAATGAACTTCCAGGAATGGGCCATCACTTTAAGTTCAAAAACTGGCAGTTTCCAAAATAGAGGTAGCAAAGATTTTGTGTTAAAACTGGTTAATATGGGGAGTTTACTTTGAATATCATGAATTGTCTTGCCAGGAAGCATGGAAAGGAGTTTAAAATAGGGAAAATGCTACTACACTTTAACAATGACTCCTCCTCCTGCTGCTCCAGCAGCACTTGTGTGCCCCAGGCATAGTGCTAAATACTTCATAATTATTTTATTTGATCCTCACAACAACACTAGGAGGTAGGTACTATTATCATACCCATTTCATAGATGAAGAAACTGAGGCAAACAGGTTGAGTGACCTGCCCAGGGTCACTTAGCTAGTAAGTGTTTGAGGCTAGATTTGAATGGAGTTCGTAGAGGCTTTTTTTTTTTTAATTAATTAATTAATTAATTAATTTTTAGTTTTCAACATTCACTTCCATAAACTTTTGAGTTTTAAATTTTCTCCCCCTTCCTCTCCTCCCCCCTCCCCAAGACAGCGTGCAATCTGATATAGGCTCTACTTATACATTCATATTAAGCATATTTTCACATTAGTCATGATGTAAAAAAGAATTAGAAATAATGGGAGGAACCATGAGAATGAAGAAACAAAACAACGAAAGGAAAGGAGAGCAAATAGTATGCATCCATTTGCATTCAGACTCCATAGGTCTTTCTCTAGGTGTGGATAGCATTTTCCACTCTGAGTCTTTTGAAGTTGTCTTAGATCCTTGCATTGCTGAAAAGAGCTTAGTCTATCAAAGTCAGTCATTGCATAATGTGGCTGCTACTGTGTACAGTGTTCTCTTGGTTCTGCTCATTTCATTCAGCATCCGTTCATATAAGTCTTTCCAGGTTTTTCTGAAGTCAGCCTGTTCATCATTTCTTATAGCACAATAGTATTCCATTACGTTCATATACAACTTGTTCAGCCATTCTCCAATTGACGGGTATCCCCTCAGTTTCCAATTCTTTGCCACCACAGAAAGAGCTGCTATAAATATTTTTGTACATCTGGGTCCTTTTTCCCATTTTTATGATTTCTTTGGGATACAGACTTAGAAGTGGTATTGCTGGGTGAAAGGGTATGTACAATTTTATAGCCCTTTGGGCATAGTTCCAAATTGTTCTCCAAAATGGTTGGATCATTTCACAATACTACCAATAATGCATTAGTGTTCCAGTTTTCCCACATCTTCTCCAGTATTTATCATTTTCCTGTTTTGTCATGTTAGCCAGTCTGATAGATTTGATGTGGTACCTCAGAGTTGTTTTGATTTGCATTTCTCTAATCAATAGTGATTTAGAGCATTTTTTGTATGACTGTAGATAGCTTTAATTTCTTCCTCTGAAAACTGCCTGTTTATATTTTTTGACCATTTATCAATTGAGGAATGACTTATAGTCTTACAAATTTGACTCAGTTCTCTATATATTTTAGAAGTGAGGCCTTTATCAGAGACACGGGTTATAAAAATTGTTTTCCAGCTTTCTGTTTCCCTTCTAATCTTGGTTATGTTGGCTTTGTTTGTGTAAAAGCTTTTCAATTTAATGTAATCAAAGTGATCTATTTTGCATTTCATAATGTTCTCTATCTCTTGTTTAGTCATACTTCCTTTCTCCATAGATCTGAATAGGTAAACTATTCCTTGCTCTCCTAGTTTGCTTATGGTATCAGTCTTTGTATCTAAGTCATGTACCCATTTTGACTTTGTCTTGGTATAGGGTGTAATATGTTGGTCTATGCCTAGTTTCTGCCATACTATTTTCCAGTTTTCCCAGCAGTTTTTGTTAGTGAGTTCTTATCCCAGAAGCTGGAGTCTTTGGATTTATCAAATAGTAGATTGCTATAGTCATCGACTGTTGTTTCTTACATACCTAACCTATTTCACAGATTCACCACTCTGTTTCTTAACTAGTACCAAGTAGTTTTGATGATTGCTGCTTTATAATACATTTTAAGATCTGGTACAGCTTGGCCACCTTCCTTTGCATTTCTTTTCATTAATTCTCTTGATATTTTGGACTTTTTGTTCTTCCCGATGAATTTTGTTGTTTTTTCTAGCTCTGTAACGTAAAGGCTTTTTACCAGTAGGCTAGTCTAATGGTGATTCTTTGGCCATAGCAATCCATGAGGGAAAAAAAAAGAAAATACAGAATGGCTCCCAGTTTTCTGTTTTAACAATAAGATTGTGTTCACTTTAAAAGCGATTTTGGTTTTTTGGTCTATTGTATATAATAAAAGTCTAAGAAAATTATTTCCTGTGATAATGTGAAAGTGGCAGAAAAGGGTACAAAGTGTCTTGAGAATTACAGGTTTTAAGCTCTATAAAATCTATCTTCTCTGTTGGTACTCTAAACATGAAATCCTTGTCTGTTTACTGGTAAATGGACGTGGTGCTATAAGAACTGAATCATACAAATCTTGACATTCTTACTGTGAAATCTAGATGAAAGAAGACAGTTACATAGCTGAAAGGAAGTGTGGCTTATAGGTTCTCCATGGAGAGAGAAATTTTTAAAAAATTGGTGAAATTGGTTTTGTTATATCCACAGGGACTATAAGAAAATCATTCCATGGACATCTGGTCATCTTCTCTTGTGGTGTTTGTGATGAATATTTGCAAAAATACTGCCATGAAGAATTGTAGCTTATATACCATAATAATCATAATCATAGTCATAATAGTGGGTATTCATATAGCACTAAAAGGTTTTTGCAAAGCACTTTATAAATATTATGTCATTTAATCCTCACAGTAACCCTGGGAGATAGGTGCTGTTATTACCCTCATTTTACAGATGAAGAAACTGAGTCAGACAGAGGTTAAGAGAATTTACTCAGGGTCACACAGCTAGTAAGTGTCATAGGCAGTCTTTGAGCTCAAATCTTCTTGATTCCAGGTCCAGCACCAGCCATTGTGCTGTGTAACTTCCTGTTGCATGATCTGAAGGGGTTGAGAAAATTATATGAATTTGGAGGGTCAATAAGACCCTCCAAAGATAAGAACAATAGAGGAAAAATTGGGAAAAGAAATGAGACTGTTGCAAGATAATTATGAAAAGAGGATTAACAGCTTGGTAAAAGGCACAAAAAAAATACTAGAGAAAATAACGCCTTAAAAAACAGAACTGGCCTAAATGGTAAGGGAGGTATAAAAAGTCATTGAAGAAAAGAACTCCTTAAAAAGCAGAATTGGCCAAATGGAAAAATAAGTACAAAAACTCATTGAGAAACTGATTCCTTAAAAATTAGAAATGGGCAGATGGAAGCTAATGACTCCATGAGACTTTAAGAAACAATAAAACAAAATCAAAAGAATGAAAAAATAGAAGAAAATGTGAGCTATCTGATTAGAAAAACAATTGACCTGGAAAACAGATCAAGGAGAGATAATTTAAGAATTATTGGACTACCTGAAAGACATGATCAAAGAAAGAGCCTAGACGTCATTTTTCAAGAAATTATAAAGAAAAACTGCCTCAATGTCTTAGATCAGAGGGTTAAATAGAATTTGTTTTGTTTTGTTTTGTTGTTTTTTAATTTGTTAATTTTCATTTTTAGGCAATTGGGGTTAAGTGACTTGCCCAGGGTCACACAGCTAGTAAGTGTCAAGTGTTTGGTCTGAGGCCGGATTTGAACTCAGATCCTCCTGACTTTAGGGCTGGTGCTCTATCCACTGTGCCACCTAGCTGCCCCGGGTTAAATACAATTTGAAAGAATCCACTGATCACCACCTGGAAAAGCATCCCAAAATTAAAACTCCAAAGAATATTATAGTGAAATTCCAGTGTTCCTAGGTCAGGAAGAAAATATTGCAAGTAGCCAGAAAGAAACAATTCATATATCACGGAGCCCTAGTCAGGCTCATACAGGATTTATAGGCTTCGACATTAAAGGAATAAAAGGCTTGGAATATGATATTCTGGAAAGCAAAGGAGTTAGGATTACAACCAAGAATAACCTACCTGGCAAAACTGAATTTAATCCTTTAGGGGGAAAAATAGGTAGACTTTGAAGTATTCTTGATGAAAAGACCAGAGCTGAATAGAAAATTTCACTTTCAAACAGAAGACTCAAGAGAATCACAAAAAGGTGAAAATGAAAGAGTAATCATAAGGGACTCAATCAAGTTAAACTGTTTACATTCCTATGTGGGAAGGTGATACATGTAACTCCTAAAAACTTTATATTGGTTAGAAGGAGTCTACATAGACAAAAGTCACGGGTGTGAATCAATTATCTTGGGACAATCTCCACCCAAAAAAATGTAGGGATGAGAAAGAGGGATGTACTGGGAAGGAGGAAGAGAGGTAGAATGGAGAAAATTTTCTCACATAAGATGTGTGCAAGGAAGAGCTTTTATAGAGGAGGGAAAAATAGGCTGTTGGTGGTGGGAAATGCTTGAAACTCTAATCAGAACTGGTTCAAAGAAGGAAGACTATGTACACACTCAGTTTGGTATAGAACTCTGTCTTTGCCAATAAGGAAATAGGTAGGAAAGAGGATAAGAGAGATGGGGTAGGGGTAGGGCAGTGATTAAAAGGAGGGCAGATTAAGGCATGTAGTGATTAGAAGCAAAACAGACTTTTGAGGAGGGACAGGATAAAAAGAAAGAGAAGAATAAACAAAAGAAGATGGGATGGAGGGAAATATACAGTTATTAATCATAACTGTGAATGTGAATGGGATGCACTAACCCATAAAATGGAAGCAGATAGCAGAATGGATTAGAAACCAGAATTTAGCAATAAGTTGTATACAGGAAACACATTTGAAACAAAACACTCAGAGTTAAAATAAGGGGCTTGAATAAAATTTATTATGCATCTGGTGAAGTAAAAAAAAGCACAGATAGCAATCATGATCTCAGACAAAGCAAAAGCAAAAATAAACCAAATTAAAAGAGATAATCAGGAAAACTACATTTGGCTAAAAGATACCATAGACAATGAAGTAATGTAAAATTTTTTTACAGCAAGTTCCTCTGATAAAGACCTTATTTCTCAGAGTAAATTTATACAAAAAAAGAGCCATTCCCCAATTGATAAATAGTCAAACAATATGAATGGGGAGTTTTCAGAAGAAGAAATAAAAGCTGTCTATGGTCATATGACAAAAATGCTCAATCACTATTGATTAGAGAAAGGAAAATTAAAACAACTCTAAGGTATCACCTCACCCCTATCAGAAATGGCAAATGCTGGAGGGGATATGGGAAAATAAGTATATTAATGAACTATTAATGGAGTTGTGAACTGGTCCACTGGAGAACAATCTAGAACTATACCCAGAAGACTATAAAACTGTACATACCCTTTGACCAGCAATACCACCACTAGGTCTGTACCCAGAGAAATCAAAGAAAAAGGAAAAGGACCTATATGTACAAAAATATTTATAGCAGCTCTTTTACTGGTGGCAAAGAATTGGAAATTGAGATGATGCCCATTAATTAGGGGAATAGCTGAAGAAGTTGGGCCATATCATTGTGATGAAGTGCTATTATGCTATAGGAAATGATGATAGTAGTGGTTTCAGAAAAACATGGCAAGACTTATATGAACTGATACAAAGTGAAGTGAGAAGAATTGTGACATTACTGTGTATAGTAATAGCAATATTGTAATGATTATCAATAGTGTTATATGATGATCAGTCATTACAGTGATCCAAGACAATTCCAAAGGATTCATGATGAAAAATGCTGTTCACCTTCAGAGAATCAAACTCTTGAGTGCAAATTGAAGTATACTTTTCTTGCTTTTTTTTTTGAGGTTCGTGTGTGTGTGTGTGTGTGTGTGTGTGTGTGTGTGTGATTTGTCTAATATGGAAATGTTTTGCATGATTTCACACGTATTATTGATGTGTTTTTTTGTTTTCTCGGTGGGGGAGGATTGGGACAGAGGGAGACAATCTTGAATTCAAAATTTAAAAAGAATGTTAAAAATAAATAACTTAAAGATATTCAGTTCAAGACATGAAAGTATTGATTGGCTGAATGCTGTTTGCTGAATTACGAGAGATGATGTAAGCTTTCATGCTAAAATGAATTCCATAGTGGTTTATACGTTTTGGCATTGCAGCCTCACACAGCAACTCCTTATGGGCAGTATTATGGCCTATTAGAATGTGAGCCTCTTGAGGATGGGGCTGTTTTCATTTTTTCCCCCAGTACTTGGCACATTGTAAGTGTTCAGTAAATGCTTTTTCGTTAAAAAAAATAAATAAAAGCATGCTGTTCAGACTGTGGGATTTGATCGTTCTTCTGTGTTCTCTGCCCTAATCAGACCTCGTCTGGAGTATTATGTTCAGTTCTGGGTGCCACATTTGAGAAAGAATATTGTTATTGTTGAATCCATCCAGAGGAGGGTTACTAAGTAGAGTTTTGAAATCATGTATAGGAAAGTTGGTTGATCCTGAGGTTATTTAACCTGGAGAATAGGGGAAGAATAGGGGTGAGGATAACTCTTCAGATACTTGAAGGTAGCTGTCTTTTCGAAGAAGGAATTATACTTATTTTGCTTGGCTCCAAAGGCCAGACTAGGAACAGTTAAAAGAGAAGATTTTCACTCAGTGTAAGGGGAAAATGCCTTAATAATTGAAGCTGTCCAAAGTTGGAATAGGCTACTTTGGTCATCAAAGAAGTGAGTGACTTCTCTATCACCAGAGGCCTGACTTCAAGAGAAGGCTTGCTGGACATGTTGTAGGAGATAAGAGTTCCGAAGATCCCTCATAACTCAGAGTTCTTCATTCCATGAAGTTAATTGATTATGCCTTTCTTCACCTTGCTATTCTTAACTTACTATTTGGAATAATGGCCCTTCCCTAAGGTCTTTTAGCATATCAAATGGTAGTGAGTCCTAGTTTTTGGTGATAAAAGGCTAATTGGTAGCCTGTAGATATGCTACTGGTCCTTTGAATTAAAATGAAATTATTCACAGTGACTAGAAACTAATCTATTAATTATCAGTGTACAGGAAGATACAAAAACAGATTAGCACATAAACACGAGACTATGAATTTATTTTAAATACTTTTCTTAATTTATTGTGTAATAGGAGAGCATTATACTTTGTTACTAAATTTGACCCCAGTTGAATTGTTAACTATTTTTTAACTGTTAACTATTTTTTAAATTGATGAAATATTGAAGCAGTTCTTTCACATCAAATACTATATATGAGAGATCAATCAATCAGTCAGTATTTATTAAGCATCTGCTATGTGCCAGGCACTTAGATCTCGATGAAGAAAGTTATCTGAAATCCTTTTTTCATTTAATTTTGACCTTTGACCTAAATTTTGTTAAATTTTACTTTGTTATGTAGAAATTCATTGATAAGCATAACAACTAGCTAGGTTAGCTACTGATTATATTAAATTTTTATATAGCATTAATGAGAAAATATTTGTGAATATATAGTAACTTTTTCTTTTTTTTTTGGACAGGGCTCTTCTGTGGATGTTATACTAGATAATTGGCTTCTCTGGAAAGGTAATCTGCCCTCATATCCGCAGAATGGTTGGGCAGCAATTGGAACACGTACCTTTGAGTTTGCACAGTTTGACAACTTTCATGTAGAGGCTATAGATTAGAATTCTTGAAACTCTCAGATAATGACTCCTCTCTCCTCCACACTTCTTTTGAGTTTGGAATCAAAGTCAGTTCCTTGAGGATTTTTGAGGCCAAAAACATTGAAGGAATTTGTTTTTCATACTTGATACTACTGTATATTTTATTTACTTTTTTCTTATAGTTATTCTAATTTTAAACATCACATCATAGATTATGTATTACTTCCTTTTCTTAACAATTTTGCCATTGAGATCTCACAATGATTGTATTCTGATATTGAGGGAATTGGATCCTTTTATCTGGTTTGTAATTAGTTATGTGGTTTGTGTACTGAAAGATTTCTCCATGTTGTGTAACACTAATAAACATAACTTTAAAGACTTATTTATTATTGTTTGACATACATACATGTGTCACATACCATGATGAAATAAATACTTTTTTCACCTTCAAAGAATCTTTTGTCTCCACCAAATAGTCTCATGCAATGCCCAGGGGAGCTTCAAGGGCAGTGTTTTATGGATTACCATGGTGTTTCATCCTTACATTCTGAATGGACCTTTAAAAAATGGTGATGTAAACAAATACACAACTGTTTCTAAAATGCCTTATTAGTAAGCTACTTCCCAAACTTTCTTCAGTCAATAATAGAAAAATGAATAGATAATTTGGGACCTTGATGATGTAATATTGCTCTTAATTACCTTTTTTTAAAAAGTTACTTTCCTCACTGTTGGTGTAGCCAATATTTTTGCTTGTGGAAAGAGGGGGAGAATTATGTCTTGGCCTATCACACAAAATGAAATTGTTGAATGACTTTTTGAGTCATTACACCAGTTGAAATTTAACAACTCTTTAATACATTGATCAGTTTATATTTGAAGAGTGCTGCATATGCTTTTTATATGATATAATTTGCTTCTAAAAATTGGCACTCTTTTTAGGAACATCTCAGTTACTCATGTGGAATATATTTCTTATATTCCAGAAGAAAAAATAAAAGTAGGTTCTAGGAGAGGTTACATGTGTCATCTCAACTACAAAATGAAGAGTTCCAGGGATGGGGGCACCTGTAGCCTCTAGGCCACATGTGACCCTCTAGATCCTCAAGTGTGGCCTTTTGACTAAAACAAATCCCCTTAATAAAATGGGTTTGTTCTGTAAAACTTGGACTCGGCAAAAGGCTGCACTTGAAGACCAATAGGGCCACATGGCCTCAAGGTTGCAGTTTCCCCATCCCTGGTTAGACTTAGGTGCATTGTAGAACACCTTTTAGCTCCAGAAAGCTGAATTGCTCTTCTATACTAATTTACATTTCACTGATTTTACATTTTTTGATGATTTGACCCTGGCTAGAGCCTTTCATCTGTGAAGAAAATGTTTGTTCCTCAAATTTGAAGGCTAAACAAAATTTAGGATGAATGTTTTCCTGATTAAGATGAACTCTTTAGAGTTTCCAGCTTAAGTCACGAAGCCTTTCCTGATTACTATTTTTCCATTGATCTCTCTCCCTCTCTCCTCAATGCCTACACCATTATAACTATAATATGTCATTGGGTATCTGTACCCTGCCTTATATAGTTTAATGATGTAAAGTCCTTCAGCTGGTTTTTAGGCTCTTTGACAAGTCTTACTGCTCTCTGTGTTACCCCTAGTAGTTAGCGATGTATGAATAGTAGGTACTTGGTAGATGTTCAATTGTTGGTTGTATTTACTCACAATAACTATGTATATAAATGGATGCTGCTGCTCAGAGGTATGTGACTATTTATTAAGGCAAGCCTAACTGAACATTTGCTTAGAACAGTTCATTAGCAATTAAGGTAAAAGCAAGTAAGTCAACACATTTTACTTTTATCTATATAAGCACATATAATTAAGACCTTTTCACTAATCCAGAAAATAGTTTGTTCAAATTTGTGGTATTTTTCTAAAAATCATCATACCTACTGATAACTTTCAGGTCTTACTGATATTAGAAGTTAAATCAAGCACTGTTTCCTGTTTGAAAGACATCAGAAATAGGCTGTCTGGCAGGTTACTTTGTTCTAGAGATGCTTGTTTAAGAGGATGAACCCTACATTCCTGTTACTTGTGTGATGTACATTTTATAATACATTTAATAACACTGTTAATAAGTGGTGGTGTTATTCAGTCATTTTTCAGTCTTGTCTGACTCTTTGTGACTGCATTTAGGGGTTTCTTGGCAAAGATACTGGAGTAGTTTGCCATTTCCTTCTCCAGGTCATTTTACAGATGAGGAGCTCTACTTCAGAGAGCACAACTCCAATGGGCTGGCCATGTTGTTTGAATGCAAAACACTTGCCAAAAAGACTGTTTTATGGAGAACTCACAAGGCAGGTGCTTACATGGTGGTCAGAAGAAGTGATATAAGGACACTCTCAAGGTCTCTCTTAAGAACTTTGGAATTGATTGTGAGATATGGGAGACACTGGCACAGGACTGCTCAGCATGGCGTGCCCACATCAGAGAAGGTGCTGTGCTCTATAAGCAAAGCAGAATTAAAGTAACTCAAAAGAAACACAAGATGTGCAGATTAAGAGATCCACCCCAAATGTTCACATGGACTATTGTATCTGACCTGTGGTACAACATTTCGAGTTCGTATTGGTCTGATCAACCAGAGTTAGACATACTGAAATTTGACTCTAATGTAATGATGTCATTTTGGTCCTCTGAGGACAAAGAACAACATCCAGCCAACCAATAGATGAGGATACTGAGGCAAACAGGGTTAAGTGACTTGCCCAGGGTCACACAGCTCGGAAGTGTCTAAAGCCAGATTTGAATCCAGGAAGATGAGTCTTTTGACTCCAGGTCTGGCACACCATCTCCTGTGCCACCAGCATTGCTAGAGACAGAATAAAGGCCTAAGATGAATGTTGTCAAATACTGTAATAACTGCTTTTTTGCTCATAGATCATTGAGTTACACAAGAATACTTCTCTCCCTCCTTAAATTTCCCTAGAACACTTTGGTACACTTTTTTTTTTTTTAACTTCCACACCCTATCTTGTACTTGCCTATGGACCTCTTCCCCTATCCATGAGCCTTCTCTGTCTCCCAATAAAGTGTAAGCTGCTTGAGGGCAAAGTTTTGTCATTTTTTAAAAAAAAAAATTTGTATTGCCTAACATTGTGCTTGGTACACAGTAGGACCTTAATAAATGTTTGTTGATTCCTCATAGGCTATTATGTCTATGTAGAAAACTTGAGGATTTATGTTGTTAGTAGTAACTACATATTTTCTCTAAAAACAACATTCATGATATATAAATTTTAGCCCATGCAGAATTAGAAGAATTTCTTTGTCATTCCTTTCCCCCTCTCTTGACCAGTAGGCTTTGTTTACCCTTAGAAAATGCATATTTGTTGCCATTTGGAGGGGAGGTCTGAGGAAATTTGGAGTGGTTTCTTGTTATTGTTTTTCTCATTCTCCCAGAAATTCTGAAATTCACCTGGAAGAGGGGGAAAAAATCCCACACTGAGGTGAATAATTTGATGCAAATGATTTTTAAATTTCCATAGCCATCCCTTGTTCCTCTCCTGGGCTTCCCATCCAGTATTATCAGTCACCCATTGAACATCTCCAGCTAGATGTAGTAAAGGCATCTTAAATTTGCCATACTGAAAGTAGAGTTCGTTCTCTTTCCTCCTAAATGTACCCCTCTTCCTAACAGTTTTATTTCTGTTGAGAGCAATACTGTCCTTTCAGTCACAGTTTCTCAACTTGGAATCATCCTTTTCCTGACCCCTCAGGTCTAATCAGAAGCCAAGGCAGGCTAATTCTGACTTCCAGAAAGGGAAGCTTGCATCCATCCCCTTCTCTCTACTCACACAACTCTCTTGCTAATTCAGGCACCTATCACCTCTTGCCTTGACTGTTTTGATAACCTCCTACTTAGATGATCTCTCTGTCTCAAACCTCCCCTCTTCAATCCATCCTCCACACTTAAGACCATTCCCTAGCTAAAGAATCTCTGTTTTAAAGCCCTTCATAGTTGGGCTCCAATCCTTATAGACTTATTGCACATTGATTTCCTTCATTCACGTTGTGTTCTAGTGAAACACCTTTTTGCTGCTTTCCCATATGTGACAATCCATCTCTCATCTCTTTGTTTTTATACAATCTGTCTCTTATGCCTGGAATGCACTTCTTCCTCATTTGTGCTCTTGGAATCCTTGGCTTCCAACAAAGTCCTACAGGAGTCCTATCCTGACCCTTCCTAGTGATCCCCTTGCCACCACATCCCTCTACTCCCCACCTCCTGCCCCGAAATAACTTTTTGTATATTTTCTATTTAGATTTCTATGTATATTTGTGTTTCCTTCCTAATATAACCTAAATACTGAAGGTGGATACTGACTTTTTTTTGTCTATTGTGCCTGACACAATACCTAAAACATCGAAAGTATATAATAAGTGCTTATTATTGTCGATTATCCTAATTAATGTAACAGTTAAAATTAAGGTAGACTAAGGCACAAAGTTCTGAGCACAATTAATTTATTAGTAAAGCGTGAATTTGCCAATAAATAGGATTCAGCTTCCCCAGCAAAGCTATGACCCTGAATGAGGGGGAAAGCTCTATTATATAGTTATGGAGATACAGAAAATGGGAGGGCTAGCATCATAGGTGGAAGAAAATTGGACAGAAATTGGGAATGAGGGCTAGCAACAACTACCTCCTTCCATCTGTGATTAAGAAATGTTCATTGTTTGAGTCCAGTTGCATCTGCAAGACAGAAATCCTTGATGGATATCTTGGTGGTATAAAGACACTAGACCAGACTTTCTGGTGTCCACTTGCCTCCTTCAAAGATAACAAATTTCCTGGATGCAAAAATAAAACAGTGATTGACAGAAGACTATATTTCTAAACTTAACTCATTACAAAATAGCTGAACTTCTGAACTAAATTCAAAGACAAAGAACCATGGTCTGTTTTTTGGGAGTTCAAAAATCAATTAACTGTAAAAAGGGGCAATTTAAAAAGACAGAATTGATCTGATTATTTCACCAAGAAGACAGTTCACTGATTTTTGCACTAGTGGAACAGGTTCTACTAAGTTTTCTATGTGTTTAAAATGCTGTTAAAGATTTTAAAAGAACCATTATATTATAAATAATTAGCTTATAAAATAATGCTATTCAATATTTATACTTTCTCTTCAAGGATTTAGTAATATATTGGTTGATAAGTAGCTGCCAGACTATTTAACAGAATGAAATAGGAATCATGAAAAGAATTTCATATTTACAAAAAAAATTGTAAAATACATTTATTAGAGTAGTCTTGTGGGAATGCCTTTCTATGTTCTTGAGTGAAAGTATTGTGTGTGTGTGGTGGGTGTGTGTGTGTGTGTGTGTGTGTGAGAGAGAGAGAGAGAGAAATGAATTGTCTTTAGGATAACTGATGGATTTTCTTCCCAGGGATGTGAAGGATGTAAAAGCTGTTGTTCTTAAATATTTAAAGCAAATGCCTGGTGACTTATCATGTTTACAGTGGTACTTAGGTAGAAGTTTTTAAATAAAGGTTTATTTTTGAAGGTTCCTCTTTTGTACATTGCAATAATATTTTACTTGAAATAATTTTTCTTTTTTTTAAACTAGAATCAGAGGCTGGAACTACTGCTTTCATATGGCTGCCAATACATAACTGCATCTCTGCCATATGCTTAAAATGAACCAGAAAAGGCATCTAGAAATTTTTAGAGGTACAATTTGGTAGACCACAAGTGAAAAGATTATCTTGCTTTAAGGGTGGCTGCTTTATTAAAAATGTCCTAGGCAAAAAGCACTTTAAGTCTTGAATAGATCCTGAAAAAAGAGAGTAAACTAGGCCTAGAATTGAATAGGAGGAAGAGAGTCAGATGGGTTCATTTTGCATGTTGAGCAAGGTTTTTTAGAATTTCAGCCTTCTTAAATGAAGGCCCAACTTTTAACAGATACTCTGGTGGTGCTGTAAGATTGTGAATCATGGTATACCAAAGTCTTTTGAGAATTAAAGTTGTTGATCCCACTGAAGACCAGTGGCGTAGATGAATAGACTTCAGCATATTAAGAAAAAAGAATTATATAAGAACATTGGTGTCTGATAG